ATTTAGTTCTTAATTATATATTTTTACTAAACTGTTAATATTTATTTAATTGATTTTTTGTTGATAAAACGATTAATTTAAAATATAGTATAATTTACTTAATTCAAGATAATTAAGCTCAGACACACACACCAATATTACACACCCCTTACTTATATTAATTTTACCCACTAATGGGCAATAAATGATGGTAAGTCTGGCTAACGATAAACCGAGTTTAGCGCAAAATTGTGCATGTATTAAAAATGTGTATGATAGTTATGGGTAATATACAGTTGTGCACCGGTGGTGGTGTTAGGCCATTGCAAACACCGGCACATTGCTAATAGTGGGACCGCAGCATAAGATTGCGCGCATAAACCGTGCGATTGGCGCCACATATCAGACCGACGGTCAGTATGTCATGGATTGCCGTTTAGTGATGCCATTGCCGACCGTAACACTCACTAAGTTATCGCCGGTTACGGCATTAGAATATAATCAATATGGGCTTAATTATACGTTAAAAATATTGTAACATTATTAAATATAAAATTTATACATTAAAATATAATTTAACCTATAAGAAACCAAATAAATAATATTTTAGTATGCACCAATTTATCAATTCATATTTGTATACATTAATTTAAAGATTCTAAAAATGCTCTATATAATTTCTAATTATGAACATGTAATAATTCTAATACAATTAAGTTGTTATAATTTATAATAAATTTGACTGTTAACCGCAATACTTTTGATGGATTTTATAATAATAATACCTAAATGTTGCATTTACCCTAGCAAAATAAATAAAGCACAATTTTGTGCCATGTTTTATAGAATTTATCAATTTGTTTGTTATAATTAATAATTTAAATTTTATTATTTGAAATTAATGAAATTAATGAAATGTAATTTATTACATGGAATAGTTTTAAAATTATGGTTTTATGCAATTATAATTAAATTGGCGGAAAACAACAGACCGATTAAATTAAAATTTTAATAAAATAAATAAATAAATAATTGTAAAATAAATAATTTTATAAATAATTTTAGTATATAATATTAATTATTTAAGTTTGCAGTATTAACCTTACCATAAGCGCTTGTCCCTGTATCTTACGCAATAAAATAAATTATGAGACTCACAACTAGTTCATTAACCTAGTTTAACAAGCATTAATCAAGATTAATTTGTGTGCTAAATATATAAATAATACTACAAATATAAACATTGTCATTTTATATTAATTATAAACATTATAAGAATAATAATCTTTTACTCTTACCTGGCAGTAATTAAATATAAAAATGTTTAAAATATTTATAATATAAATAATGGCTTAACTTAATTTTTGTTATATATTTTTAATTAATTAGGATGAACCAGTTTAATTTGCAAAACCATGCGCATTGTTCAATGTAATTAATTATTATATAGTATTTATCATAATATATATAAATGAACAATATACAGTATTGTACAAAAATAAATTATCATTAATTTTATATTTATTTAAACAATTTGTTATTATATAACTCATAGTAAATATTTCAGTAAATAATATCCAGTATTAATAACCATTAATAAAAATAACCAAGTCAAAACTATGATATAAATATCACTTAATTTGGAAAAAAAATTACTATAAAGTTATTACAAAATTATTAAAAATTTATTTGTAAATATAATATCAAATTTAAAATGAAAGTTTTAAACGTAACTTACCTACTTCTAATATTGTTTATAATGATTATAATGGGCGACGCATTATTTCGCATTAAATTGTATTCAGGAAAATCCAACAAAAATGGTCACCGTGATCATGGCCCTAAAGTACCAAGACATTCTAAAACTGGCCATTCTATTGGTCATAGCTATGGTCAACCAAGTAGTCATCAAGTTGGCCCGGCTAAACCTGGCCACCCAAACAGACCTAGACTAATTAGACAAGCACAAGTATTATTGACCAATGACTTTAATTCAGACTATTACGGAATGATATCACTGGGCACTCCACCACAAACATTCAAAGTATGTATATATTTAGGCATGATAAAAATTTTCATTTATTATTTATTTATTTATATAATATTACGTATTTATAATTATAAAATTTTAAATATATATTATTTTATTATGCACAAATAGATCATGTTTGATACGGGCCTCTCCGACCTATGGGTGCCATCCATAAACTGTCAAACCGGGTGCACAAATACAGCTGAATACAACTCCGCGGTGTCGACCACATACCAGCCCAACGGCACACCATTTTTCATTGGCTATGGAGATGGTAGTAATGTCACCGGTATTCTGGACCAGGATGTGCTCAACTTTGGGGGCGTAATTGTACAGAATCAGATATTTGCCGAGATCACCACGCTCAATAACCCTGATTCCATCTATGACGGTATACTAGGCATGGGTTACCCATCACTGGCCGCACCAGACACTACACCGCCGTTTAACAACATGATCAATCAGGGATTAATTGCCCCGGTATTCTCATTCTACCTGAACCGTGACGTTAATGGGCAACCGGGCGGTGAACTACTGCTGGGCGGCTCAGACCCCGCCCACTATATCGGCGCCCTTACGTACGTTAGTGTTAGCCAACAGGGCTATTGGCAATTCGCGATGGATGGAGGTAGCGTGACCAATGGCGGACCTTAAATTTGCAACGGTGGCTGTCAGGCCTTTGCCGATACGGGCACATCCCTCATAGCGGGCCCCACACCTGATATTCAAGCTATAAATAACTTTTTAAACGGTGTAGAAAATGGCGATGGCACATATAATGTTGATTGTAATGCGTTTATGCAAGGTCAATTGCCAAAAATAGAGTTTACCATCGGTGGTACAGTATTCCCGTTAACGCCCGCACAGTATATACAGTCTAACGGCGATCAATGTTTGTCAGGTTTTTCTTATAATACCCAACAATCCGATGATATGTGGACTTTGGGCGACGTGTTTATCGGTCCCTATTATACTGAGTTTGATTTTGGTAATAATCAGCTCGGATTTGCTCAATCAAAATAATTAACTGTGTAGTTTTATATTATTATAATAAATAAATTATAATAACTAATTTACCCTATCCAAATATAATTATATTACAGTATATAATTAAGTGTGCACCCATTGTTCAATGTTTATTAAATGTGTCAATTAAATTTTTAATGTTGTTAAAAACTGTAAATAAAATCACAATAAAATATCTAAATCAGCATGAATTAAATTTCGGAATAATTGGATGTTGAGTTGGTTTTCTATTTATGTAGTTCTTAATTATATATTTTTTTACTTAATCTTTTTAACTATTAATACTTATTTAATTAATTTCTTTATTTTAAAACGAGTTGGCTAGTTAAGTTATACTATTAGGTATTTTAATTTATTTAAATCAAAATAATCAAGTTCAGACCCCCCATCAATATTACCCACCACTTACTTAGCTTAATGTTATCCAACTTTGTTTTGACAAGTGGCAATAAATGGGGGTAAAAATGGCCAACGATACTTTATTTTAAAGAACCTAAAGATCCTTGATACAAACCGTAATTATGAATATAATATAATTTTAATACAATTAAGTTACTATAATCTATAATAAATTGGAATCATTCGTATAACTTTTGATGGATTTTATTATTATAATAATTAAATGTTGCATTTACCCGAACAAAATAAATAGTTGTTTTATTCAATTTATTAATGTGTTTGCTTTAATTAATAATTTAAATTTTATGTTAAAAATTATTATTTCATTTAATAATATATGATTAATGTTTTTATACAATTATAATTAAATGGCATAAAATCGAAAAGTCATTAGATCTAAATTTTAATAAAAGAAACAAAAAAGTTGTATGTGAGCATAATATAAGTTATAATTTACATTAGTAATGGGCGTCCCCCTAGCGGCGTTTAATTAAAATTCTTCATTTAATTTTCATACAGTGTACTGTATAAATTATATATCAATTAGGCCCCACACATGTATGAAACTGAACAAGGTTAATGAAAATGGAACGCGTTCCACTTTTGCCCAAACAAAATTTACATAATACATATTAATAATTTCAAAATTTATTTATACAATAAACTTTTTTAATGCACATTGGTTACATTGTTTAACAATAAAAACTAACTGTTATATTTGTAAAGTAAAGACTTTATATGTGACATTATAAGTTAATTAATTAGTTATAATATTTTATATGGCATGTTTTCTATCCTAACATTTATCATAAATATTATATAATGAGTATACTAATATAATAGTATACTAGAACAATACCTCAATATATCTAATAGAAAATACTTATTAGAATAAACTAGGTCAAATTAATGTTTAAATAGCAATGTATTTTAGAAAACATTTTCAAATATAAAATATACTAAAATTGTTATAATTTTGTTAAACACAAAAATGAAAATTATTTATGTGTTAATCTTATTTCTAATATTGTGCCTGCTAATTGAATTGACAGAATGTTTGACCAGGATAAAGTTGTATTATGAAAAATCCAATCGGAATGACCAACGTAAACATTTTCCAAGATTAATGAGACACAGAGGTGGTTACTCTACC